ATAATATTAAAAGGACGACTAAACAAATGAATTATCTAAATCTTATACATTTTCCATGGACTGGTAGTACAAATCATGAGCTTCTAAGAATATAATTTACAAAGCAGATATGAAGTAAATACATCCTCTGTTTAAAAAGTACATAAACAGGGTTTTATAAATCTATGGCTACCATGAACAAGAGGCAGTTACAACTAGAACGCAAGTACATCTTCAAATCCAGCAACCATCGAACACAGCAACAAAGCAGCCAACATCTGCACGCAATTTGCAGAAGTGTAGTATCAGTACAACCGACCCCATGTACTGGTAAGTAACAAACCTAACCTTAGGTTGAAAGTAGTGACGAGCTGGAACATAGGTCGGGTCCAACACCAATAACCAATAGCAGTCCATAACAACGTAGAGCATATAAATAAGGAAGCAACTTAGAGATAAAATGCTCAGCTTTTTCACAGTTTTTTTTTCCGAAAGTAGTTTCGCTTTTTCAAGAATATTAGTGAAATCCAAATCTTTTACCGGAATCGTCGAAAAATATGAGATAGTTTGATAGCTGTAATTTTTTTTTTAAAAAAATACTTTCCACAATAAGTAAGATGTTTCATTTTCTTTCCAGATAGCATGTGTGAAATACCTCTCTATGCCCACATATCAATGTATGTAAAAAGTCATGAATGACGTGATACCGTACAACATGAGGAAAAATTCATCTCTATGCTTGTATGTCATGTGTGCGTGCCAATGCCATGTATCTCAGAGATAAATCATGTGCTCACACTCTCAGAGTACTTAATCTCACTGTCTCACAGTTTCCACTCATCATGCTCAACCACTCGGTACTGTATATGGCCCAGGGAAGATCCATCCCAAAATATATACATCACTGACCATCAGTCACTCAGTACCAAGGAAGGCCAATCCGGCCCCATGGAGAAGATCCATCTTCAGGTATATAAATGCTTCGGACAAGATACATGTCCAGGGAAGATCCATTCCTTAATATAATCAACAACGCTCACTGGGTGTGTGTACAGACTTCGGAGGGGCTCCTACATCCCAAGCGCTATAATCTGCACGGACAACTCACGTGCCATAGTATCAATATCAGAACCCGCACGGACAACTCACGTGTTGCACAGACAACTCACGTGCTAAAGTATCAATATCAGAATCCGCACGGACAACTCACGTGCTATAGTATCAATATCCTCATAATTAGGCCCTCGACCTCACTCAGTCATCAATCTCTCCTCCTCTCTCTCTCTCTCTCTCTCTCTCTCCCGGGCTCACAATGTCATGAAACTAGCTCGAATATGATAATGTGATGTATCAATAAATAACAACAGAGATTGAGATATGATATGCGTATGAATGCGTATGACTGAGTATATAAATCATTGAAAGCAGATAACTCAACAACAGAAATGACCTCAGTGGGTCCCAACAAGATAAGCATGTAGCCTAGACATGGTGTCTAACATGGATTACAGCTCAATAGCTCAAGTACGTAGAAATTTCATGATTACAGGTAAGGTCAAGTAACTACACAGTACCACAGAAGTAACAGAGTCATAATTCACACAGTACACGCCCACACGCCCGTCACCTAGCATGTGCGTCACCTCAACACCGATCACATAGCACAAAATTCGAGGTTTCATACCCTCAACACTAAGTTTAGAAGAGTTACTTACCTCGAACAAGCCAATTCCAATACCGAGCAAGCCAAGCGATGCTCTAAAAATGCCATATTGCATGTTCCGGCCTCCGAACGGCTCTAAGCTAACCAAAAATAACTCAAATACATCAAACAATGCTAAAGGAACCAATCCCAATCGGAAAAGGTTGAATCTTTAATCAAAAGCTCAAAATCGGCCAAAAAGCCCAACCCGGGCCCGCACCTCGAAACCCGACAAAACTCACAAAATCCGAAAACCTATTCAATTATGAGTCCAACCATACTAATTTCATCCAATTTCGACTCCGAATCGATGTTCAAAACTCAATTACTCACTTTAGAAAAGCTTTTGATAAAAATCCCCAATTCTTCAATAAAAATATGGATTAATTCAAAAATGAACTTCTGTGATCATATTAAAATACAAAAACTGTAGTTAGATACTGACTCCAATGAAAAGACGAGAAGAAATCCGCGAAAATTGCCTCAATTGGAGCTCTAGAACTCAAGATATGCTCAAAATACCAAAAGAACGTAGTATGATTTTTTTATACACAGGGATTTTCGCTTTTGAAATAAAAATTCCGCACCTGCGCATTTCCAGTTTTCATTTCCGCTCCATATTTCGCACCCGCGGGGCCATAGATGCGGACCCAACCTCGCATCTGCGAAAACACCAACACCAGCTCTCTTCTCCGACACTAAATGAGCATAACTCCCTCATACAATGTCCAAATTCGACGATATTTTTTGCTATGGCTCTGTAATTACGATACGGATCTATTACTTATAAAAAAGAAATAGGAGCTTATTTGCTTAATGTGGTACCATTGATGCTTGAAGAAACGATGTCGAAACATAAAAAAGACGAGCACAACACAACCCAAACCTATCCGAAACTCACCCGATCCCCTCGGGACCCCTTTCGAACATACCAATAAGTCCCATATCATAACACGGACCTACTCGAGGCCTCAAAACACACATAACAACATCAAAATGATGAATCACACCTCAATTCGAAATCAATGAACTTGAAACTTCCACAACCGATGCCGAAACCTATCAAATCACGTCCGATTGACCTCAAATTTTGCACACAAGTCACATTTGACATTACGGACCTGCTCCAACTTTTAAAACCAGAATCCGACCCGATATCAAAAAGTCCACTCCCGATCAAACTTTCTAAAATTTCAACTTTCGCCATTTCAAGCCAAATTCTACTACAAACCTCCAAATCACAATCCGGACGCGCTTCTAAGTCCAAGATCACCAACGGAGCTAACGGAACCATCAGAAATCAAATCCGAGGTCAAACACTAAAAAGTCAAAATTGGTCAAACCTTTCAAATTTAAAGCTTCTAGCTGAGAATCATTCTTTTAAATCAATTCCGAATAACTTGAAAGCCAAAACCGACGATTCACATAAGTCATAATATATCATACAGAGCTACTCATGCCCGAAAACTACCGAGCGAAGTGCAATTGCTCAGATCGACTGGTCGGGTCGTTACATTATCCTAACTAACGCAACTTACTTTGTGAAAGAGGAAATTAATAACTAACTATTTAATTAATTACATTCTAGAAGAGTACTACATAAATACAGAAATGTACAACTATTTACAACTCTAATTTCAACAAAAAATTATTAAACGTGTATAAATATTTAATTCTGAACCCACTAACAAAGATAAGCTACCAATTTAATGGCAATTTTAAAATTCATACACTTTAAATCTTGGTTTCGCCTCTAAGGATGAAATGAAGTCACTAGTTTGAAAGATAAAATATTTTGTCGGGGGTAACTGTATGTTTTCTATTTTTTTTTTGGTGCAAATGTTTTCTGCTTTGTCTTTTGAGCTTATTCTGTGGGTGTAAAGAGAAATTGTATACTCTTTGCATATCAATTTCTGATTTTTGTAAAGACAAAAATGGTAAAGGCGAGGGAGTCCATGAGTCAGAAAATTAGCTCAAATGGTTGGGTTTTATGGTTTTTTATTTTTGTGGCTTCAAACATTTTGTGCCACGTCATTAAATTATTATCGGAAATATATTTATGACTAATAGCCCGTTTGGCCAAGCTTCTAAAATCAGCTTATTTTGAGAAGTGCTTTTCTCAAAAGTACTTTTAAAAGATAATATACTTCTTAGCCATGAATTATTCATAGGATATTCCAGAAAAGGAGTATCTCCTAGATGTGTACTGAAGGTGGATTTAAGGAAGGCCTATGATACTCTGGAATGGAACTTTCTTAGACAGATGCTTATTGATCTTGGTTTTCCAGCTAAGTTTGTGCAGTGGATAATGACCCGTGTTACAACTGTATCATACTCCTTGGTTTTGAATGGTGGTTTAACAAAACCTTTCAAAGCCAAGAGAGGGATTAGGCAAAGAGACCCTATGTCCCCCTACCTATTTGTTATTGCCATGGAATATTTGAATAGAGAACTGGGGCAGTTGCATAAGAATGGTGACTTTAATTTTCATCCTAAGTGCAGGAAACTAAACATCACACATGTTTGCTTTGCTGATGACCTGCTAATGTACTGTAGGGCTGACTTTGAATCCATCAAGATTTTAAATGCTGCTTTTAACAGATTCTCAGTTGCTTCTGGGCTACAAGCAAATGCAAGCAAAAGTGCAATATATATGGCTGGAATAAACCAAGATGCTAGAGAGGAGATCCTTGGTGCTTTGGGATTTACTGAAGGCAAACTCCCTTTCAAATATCTGGGGATTCCTTTAGACTCTTAAAAACTAGCTGTCTATCAGTACTTGCCCTTGATTGAGAAGATAACAGCAAAGATTACATGCTGGTCTGCAAATCTCCTCTCCTATGCTGGTAGATGTCAACTGATCAAGGCAGTTATTTTTGGTATTCAGACCTATTGGGCTCAGGTGTTCATTATTCCAAAGAAGGTGATGAAAGCTATTGAAACTGTCTGCAGAATATTTCTATGGACTGGAGGTGCAAGCACTTCAAAAAAGGCTCTAGTAGCTTGGGAAAGGGTGTGCAGGCCAATATCAGCTGGAGGTCTCAACATACTGGACATCAAGATGTGGAACAAAGCAGCAATTATAAAGCACTTATGGGACTTAACAAGAAAAAAGGACTGTCTATGGATACGATGGGTGCACAGTTTTTACATAAAGAATAGAAACATTGAAACAATGAATACTCCCAAGACAGCATCTTGGGTAGTGAGGAAGATACTAGACAATAGAGATGTGATCATGGAGCACCAACAAATGCAAGGGAATATGCAAAACAGATTACAGGCAATATGCAAGAATGGGAAATTCCAGATCAAATAAATGTACTTGAAGCTGATTCCTGAATTCTGCAAAGTTGACTTGAAGAGTCTAATGCTACATACAAGTATACATCCAAGACATAGGTTCACAATTTGGCTAGCAGCACAGCAAAGACTATCAACAGTAGACGTGTTATTGAAATTTGGTATACATGTTCCTACAGGGTGTGCATTCTGTGGGCATAGTCTAGAATCCTTCAACCACTTATTCTTTGAATGCTCAATCACAAAGAATCTGTGGTCTAGACTATGCTTCTGGCTGGGACATAGGAGAAATATTGCTGATTGGGAAGCTGAAATGGATTGGATATGCAAGAAAGCAAAAAGCTGGAAAGGGATAAATGCTATAACCAGCTGTGTTTTTGCCAGTACCATTGCACTGGTCTGGAGGGAAAGGAACAAAATTAGATTTGAAAAGGGTAAATATGATGAGAACCAGGTCTGCAGGGAGATAGCGTTGCACATTCACATCAGAGGCAAGAAATACAACAAGTGGAAAGGAGCATTACAGCATTTGGATAGGATTCCATAAAGATTGAAATGAAGAATTGTAATAGGAAGTGTATAGAAACAGTGCCTGTAACTAGTGACATAGGCATTTAGACACTTAGTTTGGATAGGCAAATGTGATGTATATAGAGTAGTAGTAAGTCAAAACTACTACTGGGTATCAAATTGTAAATCTGTTTTTGAGTATCAATACAATATAATTTTAACTCAAAAAAAAAAAAGTACTTTTAAAAAAATTGCTTTGTTTAGAAGTAGTTTGTGTTTGGCTAATTAATTAGAAAAGTACTTTTGAACAGTAATTAGTGTTTGGCCAAGCTTTTGAAAACTGCTTCTAAGTGTATTTTTTTCAAAAGTGCTTCTCAGAAAAGTGCTTTTGGAGAGAAGCTACTTTTTTCTGCTTCTCCAAAACTGCTTCCGCTTCTCCTCAAAAGCACTTTTTTTTCCTTCCAAAAGCTTGGTCAAACACCTCAATTTTTAGCCGAAAGTGCTTTCGGCCAAAAAAAGCACTTTTGGCCCAAAAAAAAGCTTGGCCAAACAGGCTATAAGTGTATTTGGTGCGATAGCAATAGTAAAGTGACTATTTTGTTAAAAAATAAAGAAAAGTAACGTGTTACACCATTTCAAACGATTGAGTAACCATATAAGCAATCCACTCACATTTCTTATAAAATTTAGGTAAAATTGAGTGAATTTTGGTTACAAAAAATTGTGTAATAACTTCCTGTGATACTCAAGGTTAAGTAATTATTTATTTAAAAAAATAGTTTAGCGACTTTAGTACAATTAAGTGAAAGCTGAATGAGTACCCGTAAAATTATCCATTTATACAAATGTATCTAACTCTCTAGCCACTTAATGACTCAAATATGCTAAGATGACTTGACGTCATTTACTTACACTAACAATAAGTGAATCTCAAAACGTCTGAGTTTTGGATTTGAGATTATGAAGTTTATATTGCAACATTGAAATGAGGTTAAAATTACTAAGACAAGCATTAGATAAATCAAGGTTTATGTCCAGTACACTGAAAGTTGCCCAACAAAGATTAGATGGGAGCAGTTTCATAATAGTTGCTCCACACTAATGTGAGTTGTGTTTTATAAACTTTACATGTTACAACACCTGAAAGTGGAGAAAATTACACACACAAAAGCTGTGTTACTCGGGCTCTTCAAAAATGCCGCCGGGTGCGTGTCGTATCCTCCAAAAGTAGTGCATTTTGGAGGATCCAACACGGGTGAGGCAACATTTTTGAAGAGTCCGAGCAACATAGCACAACAACATCAGAAAAGATCAAGGTTCATTGTACACTTGAGATGCTCAACAAAGATTAGATGGAAACAGATTGAGACCGGCTGTATGCAGTTCTTCTGAAAACTAGGTTGTTAATGAACTTCGACTTAGTAAGTGTATCAGAGACGTGTCTTGAAGCAGAATAGGAATCCATGTAAATTCCCAAGTGGGAGATTAGAGGGCACGCCCTTGATTTGTCAATAACCAACCTTAACAGGTGAGATTTCACGGTAGGAAAAACTAACAGCCTCCGATATCCTACTGTCGTTCCACTTACCACATATTGCCATTTTCCAGTTACATCTAATATATCAAGATGAAACTCGATAATCCGTTGTCCCATTTGAATTGGTTCTTGAAGTTCCAAGACATTGAAAGTCATAACTTGTTGAAATTCTAAATAGAGTACCCAATCTGATTGTTCTTGATCTGGAGCCCAATAGGTATATAACCCTTCCTCAATAATATTCTGGGGTCCGAACTGAGAATTTTTTGGACCTCCTCGTGTACTGCTGGCAGAAAGAAGAGCAGCTTTTGCAATATTATGGGAGAATATAGAATCACGAAGCTCGGAGAATTCTTTGAGGACTTGTATATCTTCATCTGATATGAGACCGGATGAATTTGGGGGTACATTCAGCAATAAGAGACAGTTTCTACCGACTGATTTGTAATACAAATCCAGCAGAGTCAGTGCACTTTTTGGCTTTTCTGATGCGTGCCAAAACCAACCAGGTCGGATGGACACATCACACTCAGCGGGAACCCAGTCATGGCCAAACGGGTCCCCTTCCCTTGAGTATCTGTTGAACACATGAAAAAGAATCAAGACAAAAGGAAGCTCGGTGAGCATACGAAAAGAATTGAACAATACAGGAAAAGACACTGTAGTGCATCATGTGGAGGCCCTTTATCCATCTAGATTTCTTGTTTCAATTGATGGACTTTACGAGTGATAGGGGCCTTTAATTTTACGAAAGGTGTTAATACCAGCTATATGCTAAAGCAAAAAACTTTCCAACTGATCAAGCCATAGGATCCTTTGTTTCTTAACAAGGTTCCACTGCAGGAAACGGAAACGGTCTATTTACTCCATGCAAAATGTCAAATTCGACTAATATGACAGATCTGTATGGCCACTGTATTGAGAAAAATAAATTTTAAAAAATAACTTTTCGTAGTACAGAACCTTTCTAAAGAAAACATATTGATCACAATGATAAATGAAAGGAGTTCTCTTCAAACTTTTATAAACTGAGCGAGGTCTCTAATCAAGTATGACAGTAAAAAATTTGGTCAGTGGTGAATAATATGCACCTTTATTTTTTTGATAACCGAGATATCCTTGTAAGATAGCTGATCTGACCACAGTTGGCCCACAGGTTCAAAAGTCAGGAGAATATGGACCCGCCCCTCTAGTCCTCTACCCTACCCCCACTTAAGTGCCAGGTTTTGTGTTTGTAGCAGGGTTCGAACTCATGACATTCACCCAATCCACACATTGCGGGCGTCCTTACAACTGAACCAAACCCCTGAGGGCTTGAAGGATATTGTCCATTATAATGGTAAAAAATGAGGGAAGAAGTTTGGCTGAAAGCATATAAGAATATGATGAAGATGAGACTAGTAAACCAAGACTTACCTGAGATCATTATCACCGCCAATCTTGACAGCACTGCAGTTGAAAAGGGACCAGCATGTGGTCCCAGCAACACCAGCCTCGTCCCCAACCCACCTTGTATCAGGACCAGCATCAGAGAAGATCGCAGCTCCAGGTTGGAGTTGATGAATAAGGCTAAACCAATCATCAAAGAAATACTCCATATCCTTCTCACCATCACCTTTTGCACCATCTAAAAATATATATTTAATCTCTCCATATCTGCTCAATCATTTTTTTGTGCAGGGGATGGGGATCGGAGGGATTGCTGTTAGAAGTTTCTCTAATCATCAAAAGTCAGCAAGAAGCAGTTAATGACTTAATTCTATAAATTCTGCCTATATGTCTTGTATAATCAAGTTTCACATATTTCTTTGTCTAAACATGTGTGCATTATTTTGATGTGCAAACCCTTTTAGTTTTAGGTTAAGGGAAGTGAATGGATGATAGTTCATAGCACTCAAACAAGTTAATTTCAACAACGGAATCCTTAAAGTTTGAAAGACAATTTAATTTGAAGAGTTTGAGTAACCATTCATAGTGTCAAGAATTTCTCTGTTTCCTTTCTTCGGCGAGAGGATTGAAATTCTTTTGATCTAGCCATGTGATAACTTAGAAACTAATGAAACAACCATTACTAATTAACTTTAGGTTACAAATTACAATGATAAGAAATAAACAACCAACAACCAAAATACATACCAACTTATACTTGGTGGGAGTCAGATCCTCTCATACTTTTGTCAGAACCTGATTCCTAAACTATCACGACTGCAATAAGACTTTGAATTCACGATTTCATGTTCTTCATGTCTGTAGTTAATTTGGATTTTGTAAGGAAATAGTAATCTTTCCCATTTGAATAAAGTTTATTAATTTATTCCTAGAGCTAAATTAGGAATATAGCATTCAGTAAGGAGCTCAAAGTTTGTTTTACAGCTACCTTTGATATACGGAAGCCAACAAATCTGATTCAATTATAAAATTGGAGAACTTTCTACAAATGTGGCAGTCTTGCACAAGCAGTTAAACTGTGATATGTTACTATTGTGCGGCTTCGAAGCCATTTGTATGAAACAAGACCAAATGTCAAAAAGGGAAAATGAGGATTCATATAGCCGACCTCGACAAGCTTGGAATTAAGCGTAGTAGTTGTTTTTGCTGTTCGTTGAAGTCATTAGTAAGTATAAAGACTCACAAATCCCTGTCATCATAGAACTCATACTTTAAAGAATCAATCTAAAGTGGTTCTTTAACTACGTCTTCCGTTCAAATAAAGAGTCTTTCCAAAATGGCACCAATAAAACTCGAACTTGAAACTGCAACTGGATCTGCAATTAAATTATCATACACAACCTCGTTACTCCCTTCCCATTTTCACATTTTCTTAACTGATGCTAATGCTTGGAATATTTGTCAACATAAGTAGTAACTATTATCCAGAACTAGCTATGATCCAGAGGCACATAGTTTATTATTTCCCCTTTAAAAGTTGTAATTATAATCTTACTAACTTTGAAAGTCGAAACTGTGGGTGTATTCCCTCATCTAGGAGCTTAAATTCTTAAAAAGGGAACTCTTTTGTCTACATAACTTTAGGTCTGCAACAATAACCAACACAATAGAGCAGTAAAATCAACAAACCAAGAAATGCTCTTAAATTAACAAAAACATTCTCAAATCAATTCAAAACCAAAGCGCAAAGCAAAAAGCTAAAAACTTTACCTAGTAAGCAACTCAGTCATTTGGCCCATATAATATTCATTATACTCAAGAGTCTCACCATAACAAGATTCATGCCTATCCCAAGGAGAAAGGTACAACCCCAACTCCAAACCAGCATTTCTTGCAGCTTTAGCCAATTCAGCTACAACATCACCAGACCCATTTTTCCAAGGACTTGATTTAACAGAATAATCAGTGTATTGTGAAGGCCAAAGGCAAAAACCATCATGGTGTTTAGCAGTTAAGATAACTCTCTTAAAGCCTGAATCTTTAGCCACTTTAACCCATTGTGTAGCATTTAATGAACTTGGGTTGAAAATTGATGGGTCAACATGGCCTGTTCCCCACTCTGTGTTTGTAAAAGTGTTGGTACCGAAATGCAAGAAAAGTGCCATTTCTGCAATTTGCCATGAGATTTGGCGGGATTTTGGTATTGGTAGAATTGGAATTGGGGGTGCCTTTGGATGTAAAGATTGTGAAGTTCTTGAAATGAAAAGGAGGATTATGATGATATTAAGGTTTAGTTTATTGGGTTTGTTCAATATCATCTTGTGAAAACCCGGGAGTGTTTTATTTTTGGCAGCCAGAAACTCCAGTGTCGCCGGAGAGTGGCGAGTTTACCGGCGACTTTTATGTCTCCGGCGACTCCAAGTGTTGACTTAAGAAAGAGGACTGGGCTTTGGAAATACTTAAAAATCAAACAACATCATAATGTTAATGATAATTACTTTTTTTTTTTCTTGTTACTTTTCCTTTCATTCATTTTTCAAGTATAAGCTAGCATTTGTATATAAATTTGGTTGAAATTCTTTTAAGGAAAAATTGAATTGTGTTGAAAAATAATATTTGAAGGTTGAAATTATGTTTGAATATATATTTTATTTGAATAAAAATGACGTTTTGTGAGTCGGACAAAAATTTTCACACAAAAACTGTTTTTAGAAACTTGAATTTTTTTTTAAAAAAACTGATCATTTTTCTTGATCTTTTTTCATAAGTTATTGTAGCAATACCTTTTAAATCCAATTCATGTCTTATTTACTAGTAAAGTAAAGCCCCAAATGTTTTAATCAATTATATTGCTTTTTCGAAAAAATGTTTATACTTCAAAGTATCACACGATCCACTATTATTTGATAACTACTCCATATTGTTAAAAGAACCTTTAATGCAAAATTTGATCTTCACTTTTACATATTCTCTTACTCTTTTGCCTACTAGCTATTTCTTTTCTTGTGATATTACTCAAATATCATGAGAAGATTATTTTTGGTTCGAACTTGTAGCAATTTATATTTAAAAAACATATCCATGAGGATCATTTATTGTGGTATTTTAGTGAATGAAGTATGTTTTTTCTTTTTGATATACCGATTAAGTGTTATGTTATGTAATTGTTCAACGTAAATTGGTGAAATGGTGCAAGGACTTCTAAACGAATTTATAGAGGTCTTAGAATATAATAGTCCATCAGTCCATCATAGAATTGAATACTCAATTTATTAAGTTCAAAAGAATTCTTCAAAACGATCATATTCTTTTGCTTTTCTTATTTTTCAAGCAACAATAGGTTAAGAAATGTTTTTTACTTGCATTTATTTTGTGGAGTTTCAACGACATATTTTTGTAACTTTCCAGCTATATAGAATAGATCAACAGATCTTATCCGTTTTACTTTGAATCATTTTAACTACTCAAGTTCTTCGATTATTATGTTATATACGCAACTTATTTTTTATTTATGCTGTTAATACTTTGTTCTCGTAATCGTTTAATGTTTTAGCATCCACAGTTTGGCGCTCACCGTACCTAGCAGCTATATATTTTCCATTGAATTTGTTCTCTCTCTTTTTCTCAAGTCGAAGAATCAAGTAATCATTTAGGACAGATGATATTGAGGTGAGAGGAGTATGTCACAATGTGTAACGAAAACTAAGCCATAGTAAAATTAGTCGAACATGATTTATCCACTGGTTACTTTCCCAGCAAAAGGTAGTTATGTGGCTAAAACTTTCCTATATAATTTAGGAAAATTGGGGCTTTTGTAACAGAAAGTAATTTTTCATAGGAACTAGGAATACATTGTAATTATTTCCTTAATGGGACTCAAAACCAGTAAAGTTTCTCTGTGATGGGTTAAATTTGGGATGGTATGACAACTAGGTACATAAAAAAGCCAACGTTTTAGGAATTGGTATATGGTAGCCTAAAGTTATTCTTTCTCTTCTAACGGTTCAACCACCATCCTAAAAATAAGGCTCATCAAAATTATTTTCCTTAAAATAGCAAAAAACATTTAAAACCCTCCCTCTCTTCTCTCATAGCACCCATCATCCTAGACATTAGGTTCCATTTCCTTCAGTAGTATCCGTAAAAACTCCCAAATATTTTTTAATTATTTCTTTTGAGTTTTTTTATCTGTATATCCAAATATATATAACACTATAATAACTATATTATTTGTATATCACAGTGTATAACATAATAATATTTTCATTGATGTGGTACTTATACTATCCTGAGCCGAGGGTCTATTGGAAACAACCTCTCTATCCTCACAAGGTAGGGGTAAGGTCTGCGTACACACTACCCTCCCCATACCCCATGGTGTGGGATAATACTGGGTATGTTGTTGTTGTTGTTGTCACACCTCCTTTTTACCACCCGAGGGGTATAAGGTAGTTTTTCCAATTAAAGTGACATAAATCGAAATGGGATTATTTTTATTTATTTAGAGTCGCTACTTGGGATTATTTATTTGGTGTCCCAAGTCACTGGTTTGTTTAAAATCCCAAATCGAGGAGAATTTTAACTTTATTTAAAAGTCTGCGAAACCAGAAAACTAGGTAAGGAATTCTGTTAACCCGGGAGAAGGTGTTAGGCATTCCCGGGTTCCGTGGTTCGAGCACGGTCGCTTAGCTATTAATATTGGCCTAATTATCTGATTAATACATGTTTTAAACCTATTGTGCATTTTTAACTTTATAACCGCTTTTATTTATTTATGGATTTATTTCTGGAACAAACCACGATTGTCGTACACTTGTCGTTTTTGGTTACATGTTGCAAACCGCGCTACATGAAATGCACCCGCGATTCGCGACATGTTTATTTTATTATTGTTCGAAGTTGTTATGATCGGGTCACATGAAATGCACACCCGAATTTTGGAATTAGGCATCATAACTATGTCACGGGAACCGTATCCATAGTCACGATGGTTCATTATTCGCGCCTAAAGCAAACTACGAATATTCATATTTAAAACTAATTCGAAGTTCAATACAAGGCTACTAATTGTATACATGCTTGGGGTATATGTATTACACCTCTAATCATTTTATATAAAGGATTTGGGCCAGCAATAAGCCCATTAGGTTATTTGATTGAAGGAATAACGTCACTGAGGCTACTTGGGCTCGAAATTGAGCCCAGTAGTAAAGAACCTCAAAGACTTTACTAGGTCCTAATTTGACCATGGCTGTCTCATCTTGGGCTAACATTAGACTGGCCCAGTTACGATTATTTACTAGCTGGGTGTAACACCTCGTAAATTCGGCTTAGGTGTGAATGTGTTAAATGAGTGGCAAGGGTATACTTTGAACATGTGAAGTCCCATCGGGATGATTATGGGTAAAATAGTTGTTTCAAAATCAAGATGGAAAGTGAGGTGCATAAGATTTGACAAAATCAACTAAGTTTGCAAAAGGTCTGTCTTCCAGTAGATTTTAGTGAAAATATGTAAGGAATTTGGGAAAACGCAAAGCACGAAAGTTGTAGGCCTTTGAAATAGCTTTCCAACGATATATTATAGAGCCCGAACATATCTCTGTGCAAAAAGTTATGCGCGTTTTACAGAACTGTATGCGATATGCGCGCCCGGTAGCGCGACCGCGCTAATTTTGAGGCAGTGTTACTGCCGTTTAGCGCGGTCAGTAGCGCGGGCAGGTCTCCAGGTGCGCGGGCGCGCTCGTGGGGTGTCGTTTTAAAGCTATATTTTGTCCCCCACAGCCCCAAAACATAAAAACTTGCTCTAGAAAGGGGAACCCTCAAAAACCTAGCTCCTTAAGGGTCCTTCCACCACCCAAGGTAAGTTCTAATGGTGATTCTAAGTTAATTTTATTTTCCCAACATCTTACTAACATGGGTAAACCCTCCATATCATTGGATATTCGATTGGAACATCATTGTTGAGAGACGGAAGCCTATAACTCGAATTCAAAGGGTTTGAACTTCAAAAAGGTAATGTCTTCACCCTCTAATTGATTCTAGCATTGGTTTAATGATTAAAAATCCTAGTTCATGAGATATGAGTTGTTGGGTTTGATAGAAAAGCATGAATGATTATAGGGTTGGGGTGTTGAGTGTTGATTATTGGTTAAGGGTGTTGTTTGCCTTATGGGTGATGAAGAATAATGTTGGTGTAATCATTTGTGACCTTAGAATTTATCTAGGAACAAGAGAATGGGTTGTCGGGTGTAGAGACACCATTAATAAGGACTATGAAGCTTTATTTTCACCAAGTGTTTGATAAAATGCTTAAGTGACCAAAACGTGAGCATTATAGCTAATATGGAATCCCTTTGACTTGTATTGCTATAGATTAAAGTTGAAAGGATTGACAAACGTTGTATTACGCTCAAGAGCAGGAAATTAAGGTATGTAAGGCTAACTCTTTATGTTTGAGAATGTCTATGATTCTCCCTACGTCCCATTCATTATGATCATTACCAGTTTCCTCAGAAAGGAACTATGCCTTATTTCCCTGTAGTAGGACTTCTAGTCTCTAGATGGCATAGTCTCATAATCATTCGATATTCTATGAGTTTCAGTTATGACAAATCAACTTATTGTGAATACTCATCTCAGTCTAATCCTATTCACTATTCCAGTATCACGTAACCCAGTATGGCTCATTATTTCAGTATCATGTATTGTAATATGATTCTCAGTTCCTGATTTTATATTCTTGAATGTTGAACACCTGTATTTGGGCCTGAGGCCGTAGTTTATGCTTTATGCATCTTTGGGCCTGAGGCCGCAGTTATGTATACGTATACTTGGGCCCGAGGCCGCAGTTGTGCGCGCACACACACACACACACACACAGACATATGTATATATATATATATATATATATATATATATATATGTATATATTATATATATATATATAATATATATTTAGGCCTGAGGCCGCAGTTTAATATTCAGTTAAACAGGTTGTTCATCATTCAGAAGAGGGAGTATTCACATCCTTACTTCCTTGTTCAGTTATCAGTTTATCAGCTAGCAGTTCAGTTTCTATTTCAGTATTTACAGTTCTTTTGTTCAGCTATTTTACATACCAGTACAATTCAAATGTACTGACGCCCCTTTTGCTCAGGGCCTGTATCTCGCGATGCAGGTAACGATTTACAGGTTGACGATTCAGCTTGCTAGGACATCTCGTATCAGCTATTGGTGAGCCCCAGTCTTTCGGTGCCTTATCTCTCTTTTATTTTAGTCATTATAGTATTTCAGTTAATAAGGTATACCGGGGACCTTGTCCCGGTAAACAGTTGGCGTTTTCAGTATTCTTTAGAGGCTTCGTAGACTATAACCCAGTCAGTCAGATATTAGCAGGCTTTCATGTGTTAGCCTTGTCGGCTACTTGTTTATACTTGCAGACCTTTCAGTATTTTCCGCATCTATGATATTTCAGTCAGACTGTTTAGCAGATTATCATGTTTTACATTTACCTCTAGCTCATAGTTATACCACATGTTGATCCAGCCATACAGTTGGTTCGCTCGGTCACATACAGTCAGGCACCGAGTGCCGTGTTACGCCCAGGCCATGGTTCGGGGCGTGACAAAGCTTGGTATCAGAGCCCTAGGTTCAAGAGTCCTAGGGAGTCTATGAAGCCGTGTCCAGTGGGGTCTCTTTTATGAGTGTGTGCGCGCCACACATGTAAATAGTTGACCACCAAGACATCTAGGATTGTTCCATTTCTTTCATACTCTAGATCGTGCAGTTAGAGCTATGCTTTCAGGAATCTTTCTAACCCGTGCGAATTGCGTATTTCAGAAAAATTCCTGCAAAATGAAAGTACACCAGGAGGGCCTCAGCTACTAGCCAGGGGGCCACAGCTAATGCTGCTCAGGAGGAGGACAGTCCGGCCCAGGGGGTTGCACTGGGTTCAGTGCCCAGTGCTTCAGACATGGATGTTAGGGGAGCTATCCAGTTGCTCACCCAGATTGTTGCTACTCAGGCTCAAAGGCAGGGAACAAGTGATGTTCATGAGACGGGTAGTTCCAGGTCTAGGGAATTCCTCAACATGAAACCTCCCGTCTTCTCAGGGTCCAAAAAAGATGAGGATCTGCAAAACTTCATTGATGAGGTTCAGAAGATATTTCGAGTGATGCATGCTACAGACACAGAGGCAGTAGAGCTTACTGCGTATCAGCTTAAGGATGTTGCCAACACTTGGTATGAAACATGGGAAGAGTCCCGAGGGGAGGATGCGGATCCTGCGACTTGGAAGGAGTTTGCAGATGCGTTCCTTGAGCACCTTCTACCCATTGAAGTCTTGGAAGCTAAGGCTTTGGAGTTTGAGAGACTCAGACAGAATGATATGAGTGTGAATGAGTACTACCTCAAGTTCGTCTCTCTTGTCAAGTATGCTCCGGAAATGGTACGTGATACGAGGGCCAGAGTTAGGCGGTTTGTGTTGGGGCTTTCAGATGATTTGTTTGCTGATGCTAATATAGCTGCTCAGAATAATGACATGACTATCACTAAGATGGTTGCCTTTGTTCAAGGGAACGAAGACAGGTTGAAGGAAGAAGAGCGGCTATGGAGAGAGAAGGAGAGGGAATTCAGCAAGAGAGCTAATAGCCCATTTGGCCAAGCTGGAAAAATCAGCTTATTTTGAGAAGTGCTTTTTTTCAGAATTACTTTTCTTAGAAGTACTTTTGTAGAGAAGCAGTTTGTGTTTGGCTAATCAATTTGAAAAGCACTTTTGAGAAATAATTTGTGTTTGGCCAAGCTTTTCAAAAAGTGCTTTTAAGTGTTAAGGACATGAATAGATTTGCTTAGGAGTTAACATTATATAGGTAGATGATTGATCATAAATATTTATTACCAAGATAACAATTAAGTTTTTAAATTTTATTTAAGTAAAATATGAAAAAATAATAATTAAAAAGTACTTTATTCTTTCAAGATGATTTAAATATATCAATAATTATTTAACAAATATGAAAGTATTCACCCCAACAAAAATCACAAACATAATAGAAAATTATAAGAAACACTTATACATTAGGAGAGTTCTCAATAATATCATCTCTAATTCTATTATGTAACAACTCCATAACATTAGAAGACATTCCTTGCATTTCTAAATGAATGTCTGATTGCCCATCTTCTTCTTCAAGCTCTGGCATATTATCTTCATTTGCATAATGGTCAAACTCAACATCGGTGGAAGAATTTCTTCGTATAAAATTATGTATAGCCATAGTAGATGTAACAAGATGAACCTGAGTGTCAAACTTGAAAGATGGCATTGAACGTAAAATAGAAAATCTATTTTTCCAAACTCCAAATGTTCGTTTAATTGTACATCTCAAGCTAGAATGAAAAAAATTGAAAACCTCATTCGGATTTTTGAAACTTGAGTTACGTCCAAAATCAGGGAGATGATAACGTTCACCCTTATATGGTCCTAAGTAGCCCAACATTGTTCGATATCCTGAATCAACTAAATAATATTACCTAATTCAAGTAAGAAAAATGTTAGTAATGAATTGATATGAAAAATAATATCAATAGCATGGGAATTTACAAGACATAATTTTAGGGTCACTTACCTGCTGGAGGATGGGGAAAATTAAGATGTTGTCTTCTAACTGCTTGATCAAATATTCTAGCATCATGTGCAGTACCTTCCCACCCTGGCCACACAAAAGTGAAGCACATGTCCCAATCACATACAACCATTATGTTTTGTGAAGTAAAACCTTTCCTACCGATGTACTTTATTTGATCCTTAGAAGGAATAATACAAGGTACATGTGTGCCATCTATAGCTCCAATACAATTTTTAAAATATGGCCAGTACCTATTATCTTCTCTTAATTTAGTGTGAACATCAGAAAGAGCTGGATCTTTTGGCTTAATGATGTCCATAGCCAATTTCAAACATGCTAGTAAAACTTGATGAAAATATCTGCTAACTGTCTCCCCAGTGTGTTGTAATCGTTCTTGAATCATTCGATTCCCTACCCCATGTCCTACCATCATTAGGAGCATAGCAGCCATCTCCTCTACGGTCATGTATCTTGTTGGTTCTAAGCCATACTGCTCATTTAACGTTTTGCAGAATAGAAGAAAAATATGTTTTCCCATTTACACATCTCATAACAACGCTTATCATGTCCTTCAAGCATCTCTTTAACAAAATAAAACCTGTATGAAGAGAAGTTCTACATGGAGTCTTTAAACAAAATCTTAAGTAATACTCTGCTGCAAGAGTTACACCGCTAATTGCCAAATCAAACATCATCAATATCATCACCAATTATAAGAACTTCTTCATCAACATTGTCATTATTATGTTTATTCAATGACATCTGTAAGAAAAGATCAAAACAAACATTACTTATCTAATAAGAACTTCATTTACAAACAAACATTACATAAATGTGTAAGCGTATGGTTTTCTGTAAGACTGATTTCCTATTAACCAGAGCTTAATAGTCATTTTTTTCATTTCCTAAAAGGCAAGGTTGAGAGATCTAATATTTATGGTAAGACTGCAAATTGGCAAGCTGATTCAAATGATTTCGGTAAGTTCACTATAACTATCAAACTATATAACTAAACCATTTACTAGGTACCCTACCTAACGGTGCAGCAAGTTACATAAACAAACTAAGTACATGCATACACCTAATAAATTGTTGCTGTTGTCTGTGTCCTTTAGCAATTGTTTACAACTGATCATGTTAATGAAATAAATTTGACTTTAGAGATATAGATCCAATATGTCACATTGTGATGCAACACAGCAGAAAGTCATTAGATGTTAAAAATAATGTAATGGAAGGGAACTTCATTTACAAATAACTTACAATATTCCCACAAATAGCATAATTACAAACAACTTATATACACATAAACATAACTTAACTAGCAGGGATTTTACATACAAAAATACAATATTCCCACTGAAAAAAGTTTCGATAATCAGAATATACACAAAAATAATTACAAAAACTAAAACATCTTATATTTCTAGTCTTTGTGTAGTTCGGACATCTTTTCCAACCATAGCAATTGCAACTTTGGTCTTCTTGTGCTAAAAATATTTCTCTCATTGGTTGCTTGACTAGTAACATACTCGCTTTCCACCATAAATCACTACCAACAATCATACCAGGTAAATTACGAACAACATCCATAACACTCTTAATACTGAGCGGAGTGTCTTTTGACCTCACAATAATTGCAGAACGCAATTCCACAGCTTCTGCAATTCTCTCAATTGATGACGTGATCCTTAAACTAGTACTGACTTTACTTTTTTCCTTTTCAGTTGTAATTGATGATGCCTTCCTTTTTTTAGTTTTATCACCACTCTCATTTGTGTCTCTTTTTTCAGTTACTTCTGGTTCTTCTAAGTTAATATGATCCAATCCTTCTCCTGTATTACTTCTTAAGTCATCCTCCGTAATAAACTCCTCATTACTTGTTGGAGTTTCAAACTCAAATTATTTCTCAGGTTGGAACCAATTACTTCCAAGTATGCTATCGGGTAAAACTCCAGATGATGGCGCCCATGCATGTTCACCAGTGGCAACAACATCTTTAAAACAAATTTCCATCAACTCTCGACATTGTAAACCTTTATCTCTGAATTTCTCTACATTTGGGTTCTCCTATATTCATGGAAGAACAATTTAAAATATATTAGCGTTCGAAACAAAATAATAATTCACTATGTTTAAGCGAAAGTAAATTTAAGAATCTTAATACCTTTATCTTCCTACTCCACAATTCAACACTCGCTTGAACCGTCTTTTTCTCGCAGTCCCATCCTAAGCCAGTCTCCTTTCCAACTAAAGTATCCCAATCTTTCCAAATAAGTTTGAAACTATCCCATTTGTTTTTCAGTTTGGTCTTATCATAGTTTTTCCCAGTCTTGGCATTAAATTTTTGCACCAAGTTAGACCATCCTATTCTGCTAAAATGAGTGCCAAGACGATTTCCAGCAATAATTTCTTCCACACATAAATTTAAAAACAATTCTGTTATTTCTGCATCCCATTTAGCCTTTTCACTATTGTTATCTTGTGTCACTTTCTTGCTCATTATCTTGTCAATATGCATTGAAAAACATGTAATGAATAAGTAAAAGAAGGAATCATGACAATGTTTTCTATTCTTCAATTGTATCTTTTTTCTTTCCATGTTTTGTATCTCCACATACATAACATTATTTCAAACACCTAATCCAGTCAATCATGTGGCATGCCGATACTGATAAAAAAAAATATAGCAGCAATCAGAACTTGACCATGTCGGGTTCTGTATGTATACAAGTCATATGTTTGCAAAAGAGGGAGAACTTTTATCCCAATGGGATGAATGGTTTTGGTAAAGATTCAATTCAAATACTTTTTGACCCATATGTGCGGCAAAGCCTCCCATAAAACAGAGGCTTCAATAGACACTCCAATGTTCATCTCTTATTAGGAAGACCAACAATGCAATTTTTCTCAATGTTAAGAACTCCATTATTGACCACCCACTAAATAACAACTCTACTTTTGTAAATTAATAGAAAAAAATCTCCAGGTAAATGCATATGCACATCACATAGGCAAAACATAATATCTATCTGTGTCTCAACATCTCGAAGAGAAATTCGGACTCAACAAAAAAAAGCGACAAATTAACAATAGATTGAGAACAAAATCTAAAGGGAGTGGTCTTATGGTATTCACCCATAGTCCCTCAATTCAAAATACAGTATAATACGTCATATATTTGGAAACAATGCACAAGAGTAAAGGGGCAAAGAAAACACACCTTGAGAAAAAATTGCAGTTTGATAGAAAAATTTTCAGGTTCAATCAACAATTTCCCTTGCTGTTGAAGCGATTTGCTGTTGACATGAAGGAGAAACCCTAAAATATTGTAAAACTGGAGAGAAGCGTGACTTGCTGAAGAGAAGGTCTTATTATATTCTAAATATTAGGCTTAAAGTAGTAAGGTTATTTTGGTATTTATAATATTTTACTAAGGATATTTTTGGAATGAAAAGAATGCAAAACTGCTTCTGCTTCTGCTTCTGGGAAGAAGCTACTTTTTTCTGCTTCTCCGAAACTGCTTCTGCTTCTAGCCAAAAATACTTTTTTCTCCTAAAAAAGCTTGGCCAAACACCCCAAGTTTTGAAAAAAGCACTTTTTTGGAAAAAAGCACTTTTGGCTCATTGAGAAGCTTGGCCAAACAGGCTACAAGTCTGCAGGAAATTTCAACCATGGGGGATCTCAAGCAGGAGGCAATCGCCAGTTCTTCAGGAAATCAAAATCAGGACCCGCTCCATCTTCAGCTAGTGCACCGGTTCAGAGGTCCAAGTTTAACAAGAAAAACCAGAATTTCAGAACAGCAGACTCACAGTCACAGGCTAATGTGGGCTATAGAGTCCTTGGTTACCCTATTTGCAACACGTGTGGTAAGAGGCACCCAGGGTTGTGTCGTTTGGGCACAAATGGTTGCTTTGGGTGCGGTCAGCAGGGCCACTTCTTGAGGCATTGTCCATCGGCAAAGCAGAACAATGGAGGCAATGTAGCTCAGTCCACAAATTCAGCAGCCCATCATAACTCTCAGGCTCAGCAAGGGCGCGGTGCAGCAAAGTCTAATAATGCAGGCGGTGGTCGAAACCGCTTGTATGCACTGGCAGACCATCAAGATACAAAGGCTCGTGGAGATGTTGTCACAGGTATGCTAACAATATTCACTTTTGATGTCTATGCTCTTATAGATCCGGGGTCCACCCTATCTTATGTAACCCCATATATTGCAAAGAAATTTGGGATAGAACCAGAAAAGTTGTGTGAACCCTTTGAAGTGTCCACTCCAGTTGGAGAATTAGTTATAGGAAGGTGTATCTATAGGGGATGTCCAGTCAAAGTGCATCATCGTCTTACTACAACAGACTTAGTAGAATTGGAGATGGTAGACTTCGATGTGATCATGGGCATGGATTAGTTAGAGTCTTGTTATGCCATAGTGGGTTGTAGAACCAAAATAGTAAGTTTTGAATTTCCTAGTGAACCAGTCTTAGAATGGAAGGGTGATGTAGCAACACCTAAGGGTAGGTTTATTTCCTATCTTAAAGCCAGAAGGATAATCTCCAAGGGATATATCTATCACCTGGTTCGAGTTAAGGATGCAGATGCTCAGATTCCCACTCTCCAATCGGTACCAATTGTAAATGAGTTTCCAGAAGTGTTTCCCGAAGATCTCCCTGGAGTCCCTCCTGATAGAGAGATTGACTTTGGAATTGATCTACTTCCAGGCACTAAGCCGATATCTATTCCGCCTTACAGAATGGCTCCGGCAGAGTTGAAAGAGCTAAAAGTTCAGTTGAAAGATCTTCTAGATAAGGGATTTATAAGGCCAAGTGTCTTACCTTGGGGCGCACCGGTCTTGTTTGTCCGAAAGAAGGATGAGTCTTTGCGTATGTGCATTGACTATCATCAGTTGAATAAAGTCACCATCAAGAACAAGTACCCTCTTCCCAGAATAGATGATTTATTTGATCAACTTCAAGGTGCCCATTGTTATTCCAAGATTGACCTTAGATCGGGATACTATCAGTTGAAGGTTAAGGAAGTTGATATTCCAAAAACAGCTTTTAAGACTCGATATGGGCATTTCGAATTTTTGGTAATGTCATTTGGTTTAACGAATGCACCAGCAACTTTCATGGACCTGATGAATAGGGTCCTCAAGACTTATCTTGATTTGTTTGTTATCGTGTTTATTGATGACATCTTGATTTATTCCCATAGCGAGACTGACCATGCCGAACATCTCAGAATTGTGTTGCAGACACTGCAGGATCACAAGCTATATGCAAAATTTTCTATGTGTGAATTCTGGTTGAAATCAGTAGCGTTTTTGGGCCATGTCTTCTCAGGGGAAGGCGTGAATGTGGACTCTCAGAAAATAGAGGCAGTGAAGAATTGGCCCAGATCCACCTCAGTATCCGATATAAGAAGTTTCTTGGGTCTAGCAGGCTATTATAGGCGTTTCGTAGAGGGATTTTCATCTATCTCGTCCCCTTTGACTAGATTAACTCATAAGAAAGTCAAGTTTCAATGGTCGGACGCGTGCGAGAAAAGTTTTGAGGAGTTAAAGAAAAGGTTGACTTCAGCTCCAATCCTGACACTACCGGAAGGAACCGAAGGGTTCGTTGTTTATTGTGATGCTTCAGGGGTTGGTCTTGGGTGTGTATTAATGCAACACGGCAAAGTCATAGCCTACGCGTCGAGACAACTCAAGGCTCATGAGAAGAATTATCCGACTCATGATCTTGAATTAGCAGCTGTGGTATTTGCGCTTAAGATCTGGCGCCATTATTTGTATGGGGTACATGTTGACATTTTTACAGATCACAAGAGCCTCCAGTACATCTTCAAGCAAAGAGAATTAAATCTACGTCAGAGAAGGTGGCTCGAATTACTTAAAGATTATGATGTTGATATCCTCTATCATCCGGGGAAAGCAAATGTTGTAGCCGATGCTCTCAGTCGGCGTTCTATGGGCAGCTTAGCTCATGTTGAGGCAGACAAGCGAACTATGATGAAGGAAGTCCACCGCTTAGCAAGTCTAGGAGTTCGACTTTTGGACTCCGAAGATGGTGGCGTTGTTCTCCAGAACAGGGATGAATCCTCCTTAGTAGCTGAAGTGAAGGAAAAACAGTTCAGTGATCCCTACTTATTGCAGCTGAAGGAGGGAATTCACAAACACAAGACTATGGCTTTTGAACAAGGAGATGATGGTACCTTGAGATACAGAGGCAGACTATGTGTTCCAAACGTAGATGGGCTCAGAGAGAGGATTATGTCAGAAGCCCACAATTCCAGGTATTCTATTCACCCAGGTTCCACAAAGATGTATCACGATCTTAAGGAGGTTTATTGGTGGAACGATATGAAAAAGAATATAGCAGATTTCGTGGCTAAGTGTCCAAATTGCCAGCAGGTGAAAGTCGAACACCAGAGGCCTGGCGGTTTAACTCAGAATATAGAAATTCCCATTTGGAAATGGGAGATGATAAACATGGACTTCATAACAGGTCTACCTCGCTCGTTCTGGAAGCATGATTCGATTTGGGTGATTGTAGACCGACTTACCAAGTCAGCTCACTTCTTGCCAGTAAAGACTACAGATTCGGCCGAGGATTATGCCAAGTTGTATATCAAAGAAATTGTCCGATTGCATGGGACTCCTTTGTCCATTATCTCAGATCGTGGTGCTCAGTTCACAACAAACTTTTGGAAATCCTTTCAGAAGGGATTGGGCACAAGGGTGAACCTCAGCACCGCTTTTCATCCTCAGACAGATGGACAGGCGGAACACACCATTCAGACTCTGGAGGATATGTTGAGGGCGTGTGTTATTGATTTTAAAGGTAATTGGGATGATCATCTACCTCTCATTGAGTTTGCTTACAATAACATCTATCACTCTAGTATCAAGATGGCACCGTACGAAGCTCTGTATGGGCGAAGGTGTAGATCACCAATTGGTTGGTTCGAAGTAGGAGAAGCGGAGTTGTTAGGACCCGATTTGGTCTATCAGGCTATGGAGAAAGTTAACTTAATACAAAGGCATTTGAAGACGGCTCAAAGTCGCCAAAAGTCCTATTCGGACGTGCGGCGTAGGGACTTAGAGTTCCAAGTTGATGATTGGGTGTTTCTGAAAGTATCGCCCATGAAAGGCGTTATGAGATTTGGGAAGAGGGGAAACTTAGTCCCCGCTATATTGGTCCATATAGAATCCTGCGAAGGATCGGACATGTGGCTTATGAGTTAGAATTGCCACAAGAACTAGCTGCTGTACACCCAGTGTTTCATGTGTCCATGTTGAAGAAATTCATGGGGGACCCGTCACTTGTGGTTCCTACGGAGATTATAGGGGTTAAAGACAGCCTGTCTTATGAAGAAATTCCAGTAGCTATTCTTGATCGTCAAATTCGCAAGCTCAGAACAAAGGAAATTGCTTCAGTAAAAGTGCTTTGGAGGAATCAAAAGGTTGAAGAGGCTACATGGGAAGCCGAAGAGGACATGAAGTCTAGA